ATTATTTTAGCATGCAAGATTATATTTCTGAATTGCCCACAGAAATGCTCTTAATAGAAAAATTGAGCACTATAAATGGTAACTATGAAATTCTCTCTAAAAGCTCAGTTTTATTCATGATCATCTGCCAGACTCACATCATTCTTAAATACCCTCTGTCCTGATAAATCCAGTAGACTTTTTGGTCTTTCTACTAAGCAGCCTTCATCTGTTTGTAACTTTTTTGGTCTTGTCTTCCTATTAGTTGTCATCTCAATCTGTTCTCTGTTCTATTTGTGATAGCCTGTGTTGGCAAAAAAAATTGGCCAAATGATTGAACATAATTTTCTCCCCTCCACTCTACCCCAGCTGGAAAGAGAAGCTTCACGACCCTTTCTAAGGATGTGCTGCCCTGCTTGGGACATCTTATTCCACTGCCTCTCTCACTATCCTTCTGCAGCTGCCCCTTCTTCTCTCCAGCTCTGTTCTTGTATGGGCCTCGGGATCATTTTTAGTTTTCCAAATGCTGGCTTCTGCCTTCTGCCTATGCTGTGATATTCTGTTCCCATTCGTAATTTATATGCTATTTGTTTTTTCCATTTTCAGTTGGATTAGAGAACAGACTTCTTTAGTCTATCAAGAATCTATAGAGTGGTTTTCTTAGTATTTTTCTGATATCGAAGATTCCAAGTTTGTGAAGTCTGTGCCCAAAAAAGGAGGCAAATTTCAGGTGTAATTTTTAGCTCCCTCCTTTTTAAATGCCCATATTCCAGAGGCTGCCATTTCCAGGATGTTGCTAATTTGTATTTTTCCAAAGCATTTTTATACCTGTTACCTCATGGAGTTCCTTGAGTTGGTTCCCATTTTAGAGCAATGACAAGGAGGGTTAATAGACTTACGCGAGTGCCCTAGAGTCTCTGCGAGTGCTGGGAAGGATGACTGCAGGAAGGCCTCATAGCTGTATCTTCATAGCATGTGATTTAGAGGAAGACATACCTGACTCTTTTTCCTCCTCAGATTTGTAATTGAAATCTCATAGATGGACTCCGCATGACCCTTTTGTGTCTTCTGATTAGTTTCTGTTGGTGGGTTGCCCCTGATCCCTCCGGAACCACATGGGATAGAGAGGGAGTGCTCTGCAGAGAGGAGGGGCATGCCGGGCAGACAGAGCTGCACAGATGCTCACTGCCTCTCTCCACTATGGCCAGTGCCTCTGGCCCTTTCCAGAAATGAAGAATTTAGCATCGTTATAAGTATAAAACAGGATTGATACTTCCAAGCTAAAAAAGAATCTCAGTCCTTGGGCAGTAATAGGATTTGTGTAGTTTGCTGATGATGGGTGCCTTCCCAAGGGAAGAGCTGACCCAGCTGTTTCCCAGGCGGGGTAGGGGGGAGTGGCAGGCAGGGAGATGGCATACTCCTTTTGGGCACTGGGCCTTAGTAATAATAATAATAATGATAATTTCTGGAGTAGGATGCTAAAAAATGTGGAGTTTACATTTTACAAATGACTTTGTTCATACTTCTAGTTCCCTTCACAGCAGGCATCAGGGTGTAGTCGACAGGTTCTATACATTGTGTCCATGGTGTTAGGAGAATGAGAAAATGAAAATTAACTTACTTAAACTTAGCAGCTTTTGATCAAATCTTTGCAAATGAGAGAAACCTGATGAAATTTTAAGTTAACTAGTATTAGGTTATTGACTATGACTTTGGGGTGATGGAATTTTTGTTGAGTGTGTGTGTGTAAATCAAATGTCAAATTTGACCCTGTAATTTATTAATCCAAATTAGTTACTATTTACTGGGAAGGGCTTACAATTTGCTAGATCCTGTGTCAGCTCTTGTGAGGGCTACAATGATGAATTTGACAAGAATTCAGTTTTCAAGGAGTTTGTAGTTGTGTCAGAAACCCAAGAGACATGTGTAAGCTGCTGCAGTGGTAATAATGGCAGTTTCTACTGAATGCTTGCCGTGCACCAGGCATTGTGATAAAAACTTCTTGTGCAGTCATTTACTTATTCTTCAAGATAATCCTACAGTTTATCTGTTCTAATTATTCTCATTTTAGGGATGAGGAGCTCGTAGAGGTTATGTAACCTGGTAAAGGCCAGCCAGCGGGTGGGGGCCAAGATTCAGACCTACTGTGCCTGGCTCCTCGCCTGCTTGTGGGCTGTCGCACTTGAGCACGGGACTGGGGACAGAGAATATGCTGTATTTCAGAAGGCGCATTTGCTTTCAGTTGGAGACCTGGGGAGGGATTATGGGACAGGCAGCATTTGAACCATGGAAGAGATTTTGGGAATCTGAGCATATGCAGGAGGGTGGTCAGAAGGAAGAGAATTAACAACGTGTAAAGGTGAAAGAATGTGGGGCAGAACAAGGAGTGACCAATATATTTTGTTAGAAAAAATGCCTAAATCCAATTTTAGGGACTTGCATGATTCAAAAGTGTGCCCCATCCTTCGGAGAGCTGCCTTATTTCTAGTCTGTCTTTCACTCTGTCTGTCATCCTTTGGGGTCCTAATAAAGCATTGGACTTTACTCTCTCCTCTCTGTCGGGGGTGGGGAGCACTGAATGCTGGGTCCTGGTGGTGGTATTGTGTTACATCTAGTCCTTGGATATGTTAAAAGCTCTGCCCAGATTCTCTGCCTCTGGGTCAAATCTGGGATTTGCAGGCAGCAGTAGGGGAAATTTCAGGTCAGGCTCATGTCTCTATTTTCTTCTGCTAGCTCATAGCCCTCTTGTCCTTGTTAGTGCTCTAATGCCTGAGTGGATTTTCAGACTCCTTGTCCCTGCTTTCCGGTTGTTCTCACTGGCTGAGCCTGTCTGCATTGCCTTGTCATCAGGAGCAGAATCTTGTGTTGTGCTGCTTCGTGCCTCTTCAGCTTGAGCTGCTCTGGGGCATCAGATGTGCCTCTGCTTCTGTTGCCTGCACTTGACGCTTTGGAAGTGTGGAGAAAAGCTTGCCCTTAAAGGCTTAGTCACGATCTTCATAGATGTCTTCTACAGCCATTGCTAATAGAAAAGGATCAATTTGTAATTTTTCTTACTGTAGACGCTCAGTGTCTGATTGAACATAAGATATAATAAACTTTTAAAGTAGACTATTTTCTTATTTAAGATAATGTAGCATTTGAAGATTTCAAGTCTCTAAACAATTTAATTCTGCCTTACTTCAGTGGAATATTTCTTGACATCCTGAAAATTGAATTACTTAATGGAAAATACCTTAGCAAATGATGTTTAAGGGAAGTTTTTCTATTTTAAAAGAAAATTATGAATTATTTCTATTATGCTTGATTAATTATGAGTTCTTGCAAAGAGATATTAGACATAAGGACTTGGGTCTCAGTGACTGGGAATTTGGAAATATTTGCTTTGTATTAATTAAAAATAAGCACTCTTTATCTTATCACAAGAAACTTTACTTTTTTAGAAAGAAATTACCTAGATGAGTTTGTCTGAGAAGTGCAACCATTTATGTTTTCTTCCCCAACAACTATGCATAGTGAGAAGGGTAGTAGGCTTGGAATGGAAATTACTGAGTGTCTAAGTTCCAGATCTGCCACCGATCCCTCCCTCCCTCCCTCCCTCCTTCCTTCCTTCCTTCCTTCCTTCCTTCCTTCCTTCCTTCCAACCAGGTTTACTAAACGTCCATTTATGTGTAGTACTGTGTCTAGGACCATTTACTCCTAATGTGACTTTGGGGAGTTTATTCATTGCTCTTTAAAACAGGTCAAGTTTGTAAACTATAAAGTACCATATGACGTAAATTGGCATCTTGCCAATCTCATTTTCTACCATGTGCTCTTTCATCTCTGTTTCCACCAAACTTAGTATGAACTCTCAGCACTTGCACAGACTGCCTTTGGTTGTCTGTTCTCTTGGCCTGCTTTACACTGGAAGTCTCTCATACTTGACACACTCATAGATATGCTTCTCCTACATGCCAGCTGCTTTGTGTTAGGGAACTTAAGCTACTGGAAAATAAGTTAGGGGTAAATCTCTTTATGTTCTTGAGAGATAATAAAACTATAGTCAACTCACTGATTCAGCTGGGGTCTTCTCTTCAGTCAATGGGAAGGAATTAGAGAGGGAATGAGGCCAGAGCAGGTGGTGGCCTTGGAGACCTGTGTAGAATGTGGCATTTCCTCTTGAGTGAAGTGGGCACTGTGGGAAAAGGGTATGGTGTGACTTATACTTCAGTATGCTGCCTGTGCCCACTGTGCGGACAGTAGACAGTAGAGGAGTGATGGTGACTTGGGAGTAGCCAGGATGCAAAAGGCCGTGACTTGGACCAGGGTGCTGAGGGAGGGCAGGATTGAGTGTGGGATGTGAGACAGAAAGGACTGACTGATCAGGCAGCAGTGAACATTAGCAACTAAAACGAGATGGCAATGAGTGCTCTGGAGGTGAAAATGGGGTCTTATGGCAAAGACGATGGCTGCTTGAAATTGGCAGAGGAGGTGGCATTTAGACTAAGATAAAGTGGTAAGGTGGAGCTGGCCACAAAGTTGGAGGAGAAGCACCCAGCCCAAGGGAGCAGCTTGTGCAGAGGCCCCCAGGGGAGGGATGGGCCTGGCATGGTCTGGGCTCAAAAGGACTGTGCAGGAAGGTACAATGAAACTTAAGTCTTCCTGTTACTCTGTCAACTTTTAGGAAATAAACACTTGGGGACCTGAGGGCCGTCAACTGCAGGTGGAAAGAATTTGTTCTTTTTTAGGGCAGTCCATTCTCTACTTTTTAGGCGTAGTAGGCATGAATGCATGCTCGTGGAAGATTCATAGGCAGTTGTCATTAATACAAGATAGTTCAGTGAGGACAGAGACTTGAATGTTATTCCGGTGACTTTTATTTTTTCAGAGGTGGGACCTTGCTTTGTTGCCCACTTTGATCTTGAACTCCTGGGCTCAAACCATCCTCCTGTTTCAGGCTCCAGCAGTTATTGTCCTTGAATAAGACCCCCTACATTAAAAAAAAAAAATCAAGCTAACTTACAATTCTTCTTCTTTTTTAGATGGAATCAGTGTGAGTGGCTTTCCTCTGTCCAGTCCTTTCCGACAGGTCGTTCGGCCCCGAGTGGAGAGCAAGCCTGTGAACCCACCTGAGAGCAGCAGAGCTGGCGACTTCAGCCATGTGAAGGTGAGTCTGTTCTGCAGGAGACGAGTCTCCCAGTGCCGTGGGTGGTTTCTGCAAAGCCTTTTCTGAAACAGAGTTTTGAGTTTTTTAAGAAGAGAAAGGAAGTGTGTATTTGAAAGCTGCTTTCTTAGTCTTTGTTGTTCTTGTACAGTGTTTTGGAAATAAGTCCCAGTGGTGCTTGAGCATATTGTGTTGTGGTGTTGCAAACTCTTTTTCCTTGAGACATTGAGATTTTGTGGGCTGACTCAAAGAGTGCCATTAAAGTAGAGTATTTTCTGCCTTCTCCTGATGCTGTGTATGGCAGGAGGACTGAACTGAAGGTCTGGAGAGTTGAGGCTGGGCCACAGGCAGTGCAGTTGCATTGGGGTGAGTGTGTTTAGGGCCAGCCTTGGGAATGCTGTTTATGATCCTCATGCCAGAATCCGAGAGGGGCATCAACTGGTTAGCATCATACGAATGGCTTAGCCGAGATGCTTGTGGGTTAGGGTACAGCAGAGTTTGAGGATTGGGGCTGCTCTGACTACACCAAGGTGGAAGGGTGGAGAAATGTGAGATATTGTCTGAAGCAAGGTCATGAGAGGGAATAAGGTAGATCACAGCTAGGAAGACCTAGGTTGAGGGAGAGGATCTTCTCTCCCTTTGCCCTGCAATGGAGAAAGAGTTTGTTGGTATGGTTGGGAACCATCCCATAGCTGCCTGATGGCCAGTGGGCTGGGTGTGGATGGAGACTCTCAGCAGCAGCACAGGAATAGAGGAGCCAACAGCAGGGAAAGTTGCTGGGGTTGAGGCTGGGCCAGGGAGGCCGGGGAGGAGGCTGGAGGCCCCAGAAGGCTGGCCTCACACCACCCCCAGCTTCCCGACACCCTCAGCCTCACCACCCTCTGACTTTGTGTTCATGTACTCAGCATCATAACTTGGCCACCAATCTCAGTGCCCGGCCTGCATCCACCATAGAAAGCTGCCCTCAGGCTCTCTCTTATGTGGCAACATATACCGTCTCTCTTGCTTTTATTGAGACCAAGCAGATTATCATGAATAAGTGCTCCTCAATTGTGGTATGCCTTTGCTCAGTTCAGAACATCTTTAAATGATTGTCTTGATGACTTTGCACATTTTTATCTTTGCTATCTGGGCAGGGGTTTAGCGACACTTCTCACTAAGCCATTCTGGAAATGGCACCCTGCCCTGTACCCATATGCTTTCTGATTATTTTCAAAGCTGAGGATGAATGAAAAATACTTATTTGGAAAGGTGTAGCTTTGAGCTCATTAATATCTCAAGTGTTTATTTTCTAAAAGTCGACAGAGTAACAGGAAGGCTTAAGTTTCACTGTACCTTCCTGCAGCTCCGTTGTGTCTGGTGAGGAGCAGGTGCATGTCTGTGTGGACGCCCTTGCTGTCTGAGCACTTGGACCCCTTACAGCCTTCTCCATTACTTTGAATACAATTGCTTATTCAATGTGTGATTCCTTTTATTGTTTATTTCCCCTTATTATAGTAGGGATTAGCTGCTGTGGCCTCCTAAGGAAATTTGGGGGCCAGGGTGCTTACACTTATTTACCAGCTGTTTTGATGCAAAAGTAGGGTGGTGTATCTATTTGAATTATGATGTAAATTCAGACACAGGTTTATGGACTCTTCCCTGGGAAAGGAGCCCAACCAGTCTCCACTTTTTCTCTCTACACTCAGCCCTGTCAGAGGCTGTCCACAGAGCAGCCCCACCCACAGACTCCACTGCCCGTGGTTCACTTTCCACCTCCTGCTGCTGTGTGTCTTCCTCTCACCTTTCCTCGTGCTTTTCCAGATCTCTTCCCTGGTGGAGGCCAGAGATGAGGTTTTCTCCCCTGCCCCCTTGTCCCTCCGTCCATTTTGCCTTGATACAGTGAAGCCTGGTGAGCAGCTCTGCCTTCCACCACTGTGCTCCTGTGCCCTCTGGCCTTGATCACGCACCTGGGGCATTGTGTTCCTCTGGACAGGGTCCCACCTTAGCACTGTGACTCTTTACTGAGGCTGGGTTCAGACCTGTTTCTGAGCTACCCTTACTCTACCTGTTTGTTTACTTAAAGCACAACATATATTGTTTTCCATTCATGGGTCAACCGTGGTGCTTGGCCCTGGAGGTGGGACAGAGTGATGAAATTCAGGGGCCTACTTTTTAGTGCTGTCTCATGGGGGGGGCAGGTGCTGCCATACATGTCAGCAGCTGAAATGTGGCCAGTACCATGCTATCACTGAGCGTTGTTTATTAAGCACCTGTGATGCCTGAGTAGGGTGCCAGATGATGGGCATGCAGGAGTGTATCAGACAGCACTCGACTTCGGGGAATCTGGAGCTGGTGGGCAAGACAGAAGGAAATAAAACAAGAAAAAGCAATTAGATGACAGGTGAAGCTCATTGCTATGGCCACACAGAGGAAGTCAAGGAATGCCTGTTAGAGGAGGTGGCACTTGAATATTGAAGGAAGAACAAATGGGAGTGAGCCAGTGACCCAGGGTGGGGATAGCTCTTCCTGAAGTTGGAAATGGTCTGCATGGGCATCACCTTCTGCCGCGTGACTGGTGTGCCGGAGTGCAGAGACGTGGTGCAGGGCTGGAGGGAGCTGTGGTCAGGCTGTGAAGGGCTTCAGAGGCTCCTCCATCCCTTAGTCATTCACACTTCTTTGGGAGTGTCTAACACATTTTAGGTACTCTGTCAGATGACGAGAGGGTTTCTCTTTCTCCCACAGGATAAACTCTTATAGCTGAGGGTAAAATTTCAAAATTCAGGAGATGGTGTTCACACTTGGTTGAGTAATGGTGCCTGTGGCATGAATTTTGTTTTCTTCAACTGGATGTTACAAGAGTGAATGTGGTGTTTTCTGTCTGAACGATTATAAATGTGTATAGATGTGGATGAATGCTCGTTGATGTAGTTAAATGTCTTTATTTAAACATAGCTACCATTTACTGAGTATGTCCTTCTAGAGCAGTGGTTCTCAACTTTCCTAATGCCGTGGCCCTTTAATACAGTTCCTGTGGGTCGCGACCCACAGGTTGAGAAACGCTTTTCCAGAGTATCACGACCGCTGTTTGCATAGATGGTATTCTCTGCCACTGAGAAAACGAAGCCTCCGTCAGGTCACGTGACACTGTCTAAGTCACCCACTTTGGTCTTTGCCCCCTGTGCTATGCTACATTCTTCTCTTATGACATCTTCCTCCTGAATTTTACTTGTGCATCAGAATCCCAGAGCCTCTGTGTTCTGTACTCAAGCCCTTTGTGCTTTGGCTTGGTAACCGTCTAGTTCATTGTTTCTCTCTGTTGCAGAACTCCCATCCCACCCTTCAACCACACTGAGATTCCTGCAGTTTCTATTGAACATCCTGGGCACCTGCCTCTACTGGTGTCTTCTTAGGAAATTGAGGATAGAAGAATTAACATTATAGATTGTGTGCAAAGGGCCAGGAACTGAGCTCAGTTCATGACATTCCTAAGTTACTCAATCCTTGCAAGGGTCCTATGCGGTGAGTGAGGACACTGGGGTTTAGGGAAGACCTGCCCAAGCTCACGGATTTGGTGGGTGGTAGAGGAAGGACAAAGGTCCACATCCTTTCTACTGTCCCTCACCCTGGGGTTCAACTCTTATGTAGGACAAGATCTGACACGGAAGATCTGAGAAGGGCATTCCTGCTCACAGACATGGCACCATCAAAGGCTGCCCGGGTGGGATATTGGAGCCATCATGGGTAAAAGAGAGCAATTTAGTTTGTCTGAGATCCAGTGGTGGTAATTTCAAACCTGTGAAATCATGCGGCATTTTCTAGTTGTCAAGATTTGTCTTCTGTGGTAGTTGGGCTTCTCTGAGGAGCGGGCAGGACCTGTGTAAGTGAAACAGCTGGTGGCACTGTCTGTGGGGGCATCTGGCACCATGAGCTTGTTACAGAGCCCTTCTCCCTAAAGCAGGAATGGTATGATTTAATTGGAATTGTGCTAGATCTATAAAATTATCACTGAGGAATGGCGTAGTCATGGAAACAAGTAAGTCAGTGAAAGTGGCTTCTAGGGAGTACCAAGAAGTGGGAAAAGATACATGTGTTCCCTCAGATCTTTTGAAAAGATCCTTGCCCATGTTCAGCCAGCAGTGACGGTGCCTGTCCATGTTCATGGCTGTTCTTCCTGCAGACCTGTGAAGAATCTGCTAGGACTGAAAATGGAGATTATGGGAGTGATGCATATTAGAAATAGTATTTATAAAAGCCAGGCTCCACAGTAAGGCCTCTCCATCTGTAAAATGGAACAATAATGCTTCCTTTGTAGAGTTGTCGAGAGGCTTAAATAATAAAGGAGCCTAATTAAGGGGAAAGAAGTAAAGCTGGCCCAAATCAAGAAATAGTCATTACCTGGAACTTCGTGCTTTGTAAAGAGAAAAATGGGATTTGGTCATTCAGCCCTGGTCAGTCTCTGACCTGCAGGTTGTTAACAGCAAGAGCAGCTCCGGAATAAGCAGAGTCATGGAGTCACGCAGGTGACTTAGAGTCTGGCCTTTGCCCAGCTCATCTCTATCCTGGAGGCCATACGTAGTGCTGCTTAGCCCTGCTGTCCTCAACTGCAAAGGGAGACAGACTAGTGTCTACTTTCTCAGTTGGATATGAGCATAAAATGTGTCCACATGACAAGAACATGGCAAGGGCTTCTGAGAGGGGCCAAAGCTCCAGGGTGCTGTGTCCTGGGCTTGGGCTGCAGAAATACACAGGCAATAGGAGGCTTTTCACCTGAGTTAGGCTGTTCTGTCTCACAAACCGCTACCCATAGCTTTGCCTGTCAGAAGCATCCAACTTACACCCCAGAGCTGGACTATGTGGAGATTTGGGAACCAGCTGAGCCCTGGAGCATAAAGCATTTTGAGAGGCTGGAGTGACTGCAGAACAGTCAGAGAGCCAACTGTAGCAAAGACTGCCGCAGCTATTTACCATAGTGTGTTCTCTGGCTGCCAAATAGGTTCCATTCTCTCCTCCATCTACAATAT